ATTTAACTAGAATATTGTTCTAGTATAATTTCTTACATACTATTAAAGTCAGGACAATATTTAAACCAAGATTATCAAATCAGTCTAATTTGTACAAAAAGGCATCATAATAGAAATAGAATGTGGACTTTTTTTCAAATACAATTTGTAAACCTCTGTATTTATAAGCCAAATTCTTAAATTATGTTTGGAAGGTCCAAATGTTCTTTTTTCTTATAACCCAGTAACCAAGGCAATTCGTTTAACTCTCAATTAAAACTTTTTTTCCCAGAGTTTAATCAAAAGCTATTTAGAGTAAGAACATGCTCCATTAGAGCTTATAATCTGACCTTTCTCCCCTCTCTTTGTGTTAGATCTGTTTATCTGGACTGAGTATTTTTTTTTTACTCTGCATATTTCTAAGGTGTGCCCATAATGACTAGAATTGGTTTTTGATCAATTAGTGAGTTGAGTTTTGTAGAAACGGGAGAAAGAAAAGTAGGAATGTATAAGGGAGATGCTTGCAAGGGATATGGAAAGAGTTACCACTATAAAAGTCTAATTATCCTCCCTTTGCAAAGAGAGAAAAGGTCTTAGATGCAGACAAACCCATTTCAAAACATAAAAAAGGGAAAGTGAGTCATTCTAGCCAATTTTAGGACCTTTGGTAATTCAATCAAGACCATGGGATTAAATCCCTGAAGAACAGAAACAAAGAAGGGTGTTTCTTAAAATAAACTGATTTCTTTTTTTTTTTTTTGGTTTTTTTTCATTATATTATGTTAATCACCATACATTACATCATTAGTTTTTGACGTAGTGATCCATGATTCATTGTTTGCGTATAACACCCAGTGCTCCATGCAGTACGTGCCCTTTTTAATACCCATCACCAGGCTAACCCATCCCCCCATCCCCCTCCCCTCTAGAACCCTCAGTTTGTTTCTCAGAGTCCATAGTGATTTCTCTTTTAGAAAGGAGACAGAGAACCTCCTCATGAGGGTTGCACAAAAAAATTTTAAATTTTTTACATTTTTATTTAAATTTTATTTTGAAGCTTGGCAAAACAATAAAAATGCTAATCTGCTTTGAATATTCATAAATGTATTCCCCTTTGTTGTCAACATGCTTTTAAGTGAATAAATGTGGTAATGTCATATGTACTCCAAAATGACCACTGGAATTCCGAATTGTTCTTGATGGGATGTGAGGGCGATCTGGCTGTGACATCTGTCACCCCATTGATCGCCAGGGTTGATTCGGCTGATCTGGCTGTCTAGGCGGGTGTCCCCTTCCTCCCCCACCGCTCTATGTGCGTCCCTCCTGAAGCTGCACGCTCGGTCGAAGAGGACGACCTTCCCCGATAGAGGAGGACTGTTCTTCGGTCAAGGGTATACGAATAGCTGCGCTCCCTTAGTAGAACCTCCAAACAAGCTCTCAAGGTCCAAATTATTCTTGATGAATTTGTGCTATTTATTTATTTATTTATTTTTAAGTAGGCTCCACGCCCAGTGTAGAGCCCAGCATGGGGTTCAAACTCAAAACCGTGAGATTAAGATCTGATCCAGCCACCCAGGCACCCCGAGTTTATACTTTTTAGAAAGATAAATGCAAGAAAAATAAAACAAGCCAGAGTTATGCCAGGAGGTGGCACAAGTTTATTATTAGATGAACACATGAATTCATTAGCTAAGGTCAGTCAAAAGGGAAAATATTGCTTATGTATTATGTCTAAAGTCTTAGCACTGAGGTTGAATCCCTAACAGGTGACCCTAAAAATCAGTGGAAAGAGGTAGAGATGGCTTCCAAAGCCAGTTTTTCAAACATAAAGAAAAGTTCTTACAGACACACAACAATGTAGCCAAATAAACTACATCTTTTTTGCTGACAAACAGAATGATTAGTATCAAATCAATGCTCTAGCACCTCTACAAGGAAAACAAAAATTCATACAAATTGGATCAGATAACCAAAAGTCCTCATAACCTTATTCTTACAAAAAACAAAATTGATATCAACTAGCTTTGGAAGCTCAACAAAAAAGGATTAGACCTTAAGCAAGTGCTGGACTTACCATCATAGACAAAGAATCTCCAAAGCAAAGAGGCTCAAGAGACCTCCATGAGGTGCAATGTAACCAATATGAGAACTGGTAGAAAGGGTTCTTGCCTAAGTCTTGGTGGGACCTACATGACTATCAAAGTCTTAATACAATGACCATCAGGGAAACCTGTTGATTATATAAAGCAGTGTATATTAACATTTCTGAGCAAGGGAGAGTATCACTGTGGCACAGTCCCGGTAGTGTCCCAAAAGGAGGAAATTAAGGACAATTAGAGGAGTTTGAGAACTGAAGTTGGTCATGAGAACTGGGGGTGGTTTTAAGGTAGAAGTTAGTAAGTAAGGTCTAGGCAGAGACTGATCAGATTTGTGAAATAGGTGATTCGCTGAAACAGTCTTATCTTTGGAGCACATGAGTTCATGTAGAGTTATCATGGTCTCAATTTGTCCTTGTTCTTGGAGCATATAAATCTAAACAAGTTTGTGTTAAAACAATTTGACTTCAGATAGTTGTTTGAGTTACATTTCATAGTTTGATACAGTTTATCTGTTATGCAAATAATAGTACAGTTTTGCAAATTGATGTTTCTGTTTTATTTCTCAGAAGGAAAGAGTTTGTAGGCAAGATAACCAATTATAAGGATTTGCAAACATTCAGACATATTGAATGTAAGGGGGGGCCTTGGTAAGAGCGTGACTGAAAACAGGGTCAAGGAGGAGATATATTAGGATGTTCTTAAGGATTGTAATCTTTGGGAAGATAGAGGACTACAAAGGGAAATAAAAAGAATCAAAGGTTTAATGTGTGAAAGTGCACCATTGATAAGAACAGAAGAAATTGAAATTTAATATATGGTAGACAGGAAAGTAACAAGGTATGGAGATGATTGTTTATATGTTTTTTTACTTTGTATTTTTCTTTCTTTTGTATTTTAACTGTGACAAGTTTCAGGCATCATTCCAAAGATGACCAGAAATATAGGATACCAGAAAATAAAATTAAGTTTTAAAAGGAAATATTGTGAATTTATTCTATATTCGGACTTATACTCCCATCCAGTTGCTTGTTTTCTTTGAAAATACTTAAAATGCACCGTAAATCCCACACCCTCATTTAACCAGGTATTATTTCATTATGTCAGTTTTACATATAAATAACTAGTTCTCCAATGATCTTTAATTGTTCTGTTATTTCGAGAACTGTTTGCAGCAAATAACAGAAAGGAATGTGAATGTCAAAGAAAACACCCTAATAAGAGGGACTCTTATTTAGTTGGTGGTCAGTACCCTTCTGTGAAAAAAAAAATTATATAACCACACAGTTTTCTTTCTGAAGCAATTTGTCTAATTAATGGAGTTAAAGAGCTGTAAGCCTTTGCCTTTATAAAATTATAATGACTTCAATAACTGTGTTAATTAAGATCAGAAAATTAATCTATATTAGCACTGCAGGAGCAATTTTCTAAGCTCTGTCAGTCACATGGTATCTGATTAAGTTAAATTAATGCAGTATTTGAAGGGAAGATTCCCAGGTGACACTGAATAAGATGATCAGTTTTTCTCTAGCTATTTTAAGGGGACAGTTGGTTGCAAAGCTACTACTTTTCCAATGCAAAGCCAAAGGTCCTGCCACATGGTATCACCACTGAGTCAGAAGGAAGATTGAAGGGCTAGAGGTTATTGTTTGGGAGAACTGAGATATGAAGAACTGAGTATTGTTTGGGAGAACTGAGATATGAAGCCCTGAGTATTGGTCATATTAATAGCCTACGTATCTAAAATGTGCAGGCTTGCCTTCAACCTCCTAAGATAATATTCCAGATTTCCTCACTTCCAAGATGTACTTTTTTTCATTTTATATTTCTGAAATCAAAGTCCATCTTGAAATTGATGTATAAATTAAAGTTGCGTTTTGGTAAAGTCTGCATGTGTTAAGGATCCCTACTCTTAAGTGTTTTATAACCTAATCTAAATCTGTATTCACACTATAGACTAATTCTATCTGTACTAGTATCTAGGAGTAAAATACGAGAACAAGTGGGGTAAAATATGCGCTCTTTAGGAAGAGAATCATATTTATTATATATTTACCCATATTAACTGAGTGTTCATTACCTCAATCAATCCTGACAACTACTTTTCAAGATAGTTATTATTACTATATGTTATAATCGAGAACATTAGGCATAATGTGTTTGGGTAACTTGAATTTGAATCTTGTCTGAATCCCAAGCTCTTCCTACTATACCACCCTGCCTCACTGGAACATCCTAACACAGAATAAGCTTCTAATTATTTTTTTCATAGACATATAATGGTAGATATTAAATCTCTAAAGAGTGACTCAATTCAGAGTCATGGAATAATTGTGCATATGTCTAGTTAAGTATTATTTGTTTAAGTTTGCTAATAAAGATACAAGACACCTGTCTCCCTCTCCTTCAAATAAGTTCAACTTCTTTGGTACTGTTGATCTCACTTCAGAAAAGAGATCAAAAAGCTTGAAAGAAGATATTAACAATCATTCTCTTCATACCTGAGAATATCATGTCACACAGTCTCTACCTCAGATGTTCTCAGTGAAAGACAAACTGGAAAATAATACTGGGAGGGATAAAGGAGGTTGTTTTATTTAGTTTATCCTGGTGAGCAACCACTGGGAAGGCCAATCTCTACAGAGCACTATTGTCAAACTGTAGCCAAAGCAGGTGTGATATTTGGCCTGCTGTTTAGTCACCATTTAAATTTCTGCATGCTTTTTAATTCTGGAAGAATGTTTTTTTCAATCTCCTATACTCTCAATATTTATTCAGAGATCCTTTGGGCATGTATCTTCTATGTGCCAGATACTGTAGTAGATGTTAGATAAGGTAAACTCTGCTTACTAGATCTATTTCTTTTCCATCAACCATAGGCAACACCAAAAAGAATAATTTGTGGTGTTTTTTTTGGCTTTGTAGCTGCTAAATCCCGAAGATGACCTCTTACCAGGAAAGATTCGAGACAGCAATCGTTCAACCCTCTTAGCAACAATTCAGGAACATGGTTATCCCACAATCAACTTGGGAATTGTAGGAGACAAGTAAGTATTGAATTTTATTTGGAAGTTGTTATTGTACACATTTGAATTTTGGGAGTGCTAACTAGGTGGGATTGTTGTTAAAGAGAAATTTAATACCATAATTTTCATTAATCTCATTCTTCAGAAGCAAAAGAATTATGAACATGTCTGTGCCTTTTTGCGATAGACATTGTCCTGGAGTGTCTATTACAACAGGAGAAATATTTTTGTTCTCCTATAGTTATGTAAAGTTTCCAAGGATTTTTTTTTTTATATCATTGGCTTTATTCTAATGGAATTAATGGTGATGGTATTATTCCTATTCACACTCACTTGTTTCAAGAAAGGCAGGAAAGACATGAGTAAGAAGATAAAGAATGTTAAAATTCTCACTAACTGCTCCTTTGCAGTTTAAGTACAATTGTTTTCTAGGACTTTTATATTGATTTTTTTGTATCTTATGTAACCCAAGTTTCTGTAGCCTTCACCCACTTGTAAGTACATATGGAGGCACATTGACTAGAATTGCCCATCTCTAAGAGCATATTACCCTATATTCTAAATTAACTGAGCCCTCTGCTAAATTCCCCAAGGATTTATATGAACTTCCAACAGATTTTCACATGTGATCAAGAGCAAGTCTGCTCTTCCTGAGCATCCCACTACCAAGTGACATTGCTACTCAGCCCTCTCTCACCAGGATTTCCAGTTCACAAGAGGCATACCTGCTTTTAATAATACTCAAACATCAACCTGGTGGAGACAGAGCTGGGAGACAAATCTGAGTGACAGATAGCATGATGTATCTGTCCCCTATAATTGCCCCTTTCCTTTATCACCACCTTGTAACTGAATAAAGCTCATTATGTCTGGATCCTTCTTCCCCAGCACAAGGTAGGAATTTCCCAGCAAATGCGCTTTTGAAGAGGCTCTGCCTTACCATTTCACAAGATATGCTCTGACACCTCTATCCCAGCTTAAGCCCAACCTGGACACAGCATAATCCAAACCTTGGACCCAGCATCCTACCAATAACATGAAAGGGAGTAGCTTTTATGTCCTTTCACTTTTTAAAGTCCTTTCCTCCTTGTTTTTTTCTTTTTCTGATGATATTGGAATAGAAGCTGTTAGGTATACTTTCAAATGTCATTGTTTTTAAAATCTTAACATTTGTATTTACCTGGATGTTTAGCTCTAGAGACACCCATAGCTAAGTAGCCAGCCAACTTAGAACCCATGCTGGTGAAGACAATGTCACAGGCTGCTTAGTATCACCCTGACCCAGGCTCCCTAGCCCTTGGAAGGAAGTAGAAAGAACCCACTGGAAAAAAAGGGGGGGTGCATTTATTTGAATTTGGGCCTGACCACCAATAACCTGTCCTTTCATATAAAACTAAAAGTTATCCGTAGATACACCTTTAAAGAGGACAAAAATTAACTTCCCAAAGGAGGTTAGAGGAACCCAAGAGTTCCAAAAGCACAGAGCAGATCCTGAAACTCTAGAGAACAACTTACCAGATCGTTTAGGATTTGTTTCCCACCCACAACTGGCTCTGGTCCTGTCTTCAAGTGCATTAATGAGCTCTAAGGAATATTATAAGGTAAAAGAAGCTTGTTTGTTTTTCATTTTACCTTAAGCTGTTCTGTACTATAATTCTGTCTACTCCTCCTATTTTTGTACTTTTGTATAAAAAAAATGCTTGCTTGATATACTATCTATGCTGCCAGTACACCAGTGAAAGCCTGTGTTGATATGCTAATATTTAATTGTCTGTTGATTTGCGGTAGACATTTACTAATAATTAATATTGATATTACATATAACTCCAAAATATACCTTGAAAGCAGCATATAAAGAACAATAAAATGATAAGCAAGATATAGGCAATTCTGAGAATATGCAAATCTCTAGTGTATATTCTTTTCTCAGATGGAAATATCTTCCATAAAACTGAAAACAATTTTTTAAAAATACAACAATGCAAATCTAGACTTTCTCAGTGAGAGTGCTATTTTGAAGAGGCCCAGAGTAAATGGTTGGAATGCGGAGATGGAATGCGGGTGGAAAGAATTTATAACTGTTCTAATGGAAATCTATGTTGGAGTTTAGCAAAGGAAACAAGGTACATTTAATCTGCAGCCTGTTGATACTCTGTGAAGGTTACCTCCCACTTCATTCTTCTCCTTCCTATGTAGCCTTTTGCTAATGAAAGCAAATGTTATACAGAAGCCTCTCTGTGAAGCTCTCCAGGGAAACACAACGGTCATGGGAGAAACTACACTTTGTGTAAAGCAGGGAGAGAAATAGCTCAAGAATGTCAGTAAGCCCAGAACCCCTGCTCAGCTATGACCGATAAGAATAGGGAGTAAGAGCTCTATTCTTGTATTTAAAGAAAGATTAGTGTCTGGTTTTTAAATTCTGTGATTCTACTTCTCAGCTCTTATTTTTATCACCAACCATAATTTTAATGATAAATGTTAACATCCAAATAAGTTACAGAGTCTTAATCTGTAACTTATTTGGATTAAATTGAGCTAAATTTTGCCTTTGCTTATTCTACATTTTATTTAAAAAGAGAGTACAGTGAAGATTACGGGAAGGATGCTTCAAATACCTGAGAGTTAACAACTATATTTTAAAGCGTTCACTTATAAATATTTTGTGCATATTAAAATATATTCAGTAAGACATAGTTTCTCACAGCACGTGGAACACAATACTCTTGGGGTTCCTAGTTGTTTTTTTGTTTTGTTTTGTTTTTAAGACAAATTTTGAAACCCAGAGATGTTAAATGAACTTGCTCAGCATTATACAAGTTAGTGGCAGAGGTGAAAATGGAAGCTAAGTTTTGAAATTAACAATCTACAATTCTTTGCTATCATTACGAAGACAAGATAATAACTATAAATATGTCAGAAAAGAATCATCACTATGCGCTAGAATGGTCAGAGTTTTATAAAGGTGCAATGTTAGTTAAAACATGAAGGATGAATAGAATTTGTATATTTAGAAAAAGAGTGTGTTAATCAAGTAGGAAACATGGAATGAACAAAAAATAGAGAAACAGAAAAGAAAGTAGAGAAGTAGAAATAAACAGCTACAGGTCAGGCCAGATTGATCAGAACAGGAGGTTCAGGTAGAAGGATAATGGAGGTCAATTTGGTAGAAATTTAATAAGGCTTTGCAATCCAAGCAGAACTACCCAACTCACTTAAATTTTAAACTTTTTAAAAAAACAGAATTGACATAATAACCATTATTTTAGAATAATTTGAACAAGGTAAAACATGGGCTAAAGTTGGAGATAGGCTAGAAATAAGAACAATACAATTTGTTCATTAATTATTCAGTCAGGAAGTATGTGTTGTGTACCTATGAGAATCATCTGAAGATCTTATTTAAAATGCTGATTCTGATTTAGCAAATGTGGGGTGGGCCAAGATATTGCATTTCTAACAAACTCCCAAGGATACCAAGCTGCTGGTCCATGGATCATGGGAAATAACAAGGATTTTGTCAATTTAATCATGCCATCTACTATGGATTTTAAGACAAAGGCTATTGAAGATACAAAGCTGAAACATAGATCTTACCTTTGAAATTACATGTACTAGAAATGTACTAGAAACTATAGACTAGTAATAAAAATGTTTTGGAAAGTTTCAGAGCTTAAACTCACATTTGGAAGTAGAATTTTTTTAAAAAAGAGACTAAATCAAAAGACATTGTAAAGGCTATTACATAGAACAGAAGAGCGTCAGTGTTGATTTCTCTTCATCTGGATTACAAAGCCTTATCAAAATGATATGTGACTACAAACACAAACAAAATACCTACAAAACCCAGCCAGTAGGTCTCTCTAGCACAATTTTACATCCCGCTCCAGCAATACACCACTTCCATTTCTTCAGGCTCCATTTGTAGTCTATCCTTTCTTGGTTTTTGTAGCTCCTCTTCCTGTGCTCATTCCCTAAATTTAGGGGTCCCCATGGCTCACTCTTGGCTTTCTGTCCTTCTAATTTCTTATGCTAATGACTCCTAGATCTTATCTCTATCTTGAGCTCCATGCCTAGATCCACCTGCTTACTAGGTGCATTTTCTTTTAAGTTCAGTAGGCACTGCAAATTCAACCTGTCCAAAACTAACCATCCCCCCACCTCTCTCACTGCCCCTCCCCACTGCCACCCTGTTCCATTTCCGTTCATTCTTCTGTCTCAGCCACCAGCCAGTCACCCAAGCCAGAAGAAACCTGAACAAGAGTCATCACAGCTCCTCTCTTCCACTCACTCTATATTTAAGTCCTACAGACTTTCCCTCCTTGGTATTTCTTCTCTACATTCCCATCTCTTCATTCCTACCATCCTGGCTTAGTTCAGGACTCCATTTATTTTTTGTCTAGACATACAAGACTAGCATCTTAATTGGTCTCCATGCCTTAAGTCTTGTTCCCCTCTAACTCACCCTCTATTCTGCTACCTTTCTAAGGTGCATATTCTATACCTATGGCAGAATTGGGGTTTTATTATATATGGATAAGCAGACTGTAATAATTCAACAAACTTTTACAAATGGTTATGCTCTATCAGGCATTGTACCAGTCTTTGGTACTACAGAGATAAATAAGACAGTTATTAGTAAGAACTACAAAAAAGTTTTCAATTCTGATCCACTTCCCTCTTTCCTCCCAGTCTCCAATCTCCAGTCTCCTTACTGCAAACATGTCAGTCTTTACTGAGTACCCATTATATGTGTGTGTGTGTGTGTGTGTATAACACTATACTACATTCTTTCATGTATGTATCTTATTTAAGCCTCTTGAAACAACAGAGCCAGATAAGTATCTTTAATCCCCATTTTGGAGATAATAATACTGAAGCTTAAAAAAATCAACCTATTCAGGGTCATGCAGCTAGTAAAAGGCAGAGTAAGGAGTTCAATCCAGGCCCGTCTTAACTTCAGGGTCCTTTCTCCTTTTGCTCTACCATCCTACTTTTTTAACTGGAGTTAGCATCCTCATTTC